ATGGTGTCCACATCTATGTGGTTTGTTTTTTTGTGGGGTTTTGTGGTTTTCTGCAATTTACTATTTTTTGTTTTGTTTCAGTTATAAGCTCACTAGCATTTCTGGATCTAAATCAGTTAAATTTAAATAGCTTAGCTCATGAGTAACTCATAATTAAATAGAGCTTTACACTTCATCGTAATCCAGTGAACTCGGAACAAGAGGATATTTTGCACCTTATTTTTTTCTGCCTCAATTATGTGACCAATACAGCTGTTCTAGAACAAGCAGCAGTCACAAGTATAGAGGCCATGTTGCTGAGAACACAGCTGCAATGGGCAGGACACGTCTCAAGGATGCAGGACCACCGCCTCCCTAAGATCTTGCTTTATGGTGAACTTGCCATCGGCCTGGAGACACACCTTCTGTAACGCTGCTGTTTCCTTTGAGAACGCACGCAGGATCACTCTTGAGGAGAAAAGACAACACAGAAAGAACCGTGTCTTGCGGAATATGCCATCTAAGGAGTCTTTCTGCTGTGCCTTTTGCAATCGGATATGTCTATCTTGTATTAGCCTTATTAGCCACCAGTGTGCCTGTAATAAATGTGGATAGAGCCTTCCTTAATCTTCGTTGGCGAAGTCTAGCCATGATTTGATGATTTTTTTTCTTCCTAACACATTGAAAGCCATATTATGAAGAATAAATTTTATTGAGCTTAAGACTGTCTTCCAGTATGGACTCTGGTATTATTCTGTATATTTGGCATTTACATAAACAATATTTTGCTTCCAAAATATTCACTGAGCTCCAACAATGCAGAACAGTATCTCTATATGTTTAAATGAGTCATGTCTCAAAATGCTAACCGTTGTAAATAATTACTCTTTCGAAAGAGAGGAAAATCACATTATTGAATGTATTAGTAGAATGTGATCAGAAATTACATTTATATACTTTATGCATTTATTTGAGGAGGAAAACATGAATTGGGTCAAGGACACTGATGTGCTTCTCCATTTGGTTCTTTGAAAATTAATGTTAAAAATATATATCAGCTTTTCTATTAGAACAAGCCTGTTGGGCACCCACATACACCATCACATCCTAACCCATACCCACAGGGAACTCAACTGCAGTTCCAGGATTCGGTTAGGGTTAGGGTTAGGATTCAGAGGGTCACAGAGCCTGTAACTCCCAGGGACACTGGAGCTGGAATAGGTGTGCGAAAAGGATCATGGAAGGTCACCAACATTGCTGCATCCACATCTTTCTAATCTGGAACACACATGGTGATAGGGAACTTGTGCACAGTGTCCGGACTTATTTATCGTTAGGGATATGGTTCTGAGAGCCAGAAAGCCCACAGTCCCAGGGACACTGGGGTGGAAAATGCATGCCTAGTGTGTTATTTCAGGGCACCAATACTGTTGCCTCCATACCTTTCAAATACGAGAGACTAGGAAATCAACTGTAGCACCACAATCCCGTTAGGGTCAGTGTTAGGGTTCAGAGAGCCACAGAGCTTACAGCTCCAGGGACACTGGTACTAGAAAAGGCATGCCAAAGGGATCATGTTAGGGTGCCAACATGGCTGCCTCAACATTTTTCTAATCTGGGCCACCCATGGGGATGCAGACCTCAGGTGAAGTGCTAAAATTCTATTCTGCTTAAGGTTCATGGCTAGGTTTCATTAACGAAGATTTGAGAAGGACTCTACCCACACTTGCTACAAGCGCGCTGGTGGCTAAAAAGGCCAATGTGAGATAGACAAGTCCGGTTGCAAAAGGCACAGCAGAAAGACTCCTTAGGTGGTATCGACAAGACACAATTCTTTCTGCGGTGTCTTTTCTCCTCAAGAGTGTTCCTGCATGCTTTCTCAAAAGAAGCAGCAGCGTTATAGATGGTGTGTCTCCAGGCCTCCCGATTGGAGGCCAGAGTAGACCAATGATGTTGATCAATATGGCCAAAGCTGAGATGTTGTTTCAGGGAGTCCTTGTATCTTCTCTTTGGGGCTCCTCTCTTGCGGCAGCCAGTGGTAAGTTCACCATAAAGCACGATCTTAGGGAAACGGTGGTCCTTCATCCTTGAGACATGTCCTGCCCAACGCAGCTGTGTTCTCAGCAACATGGCCTCAGTACTCGTAACTGCTGCCTGTTCAAGAACAGATGTATTGGTCACATAATCTGACCAGTCGATGTTTAGGATTGTACGGAGACAGCGTTGATGGAAGCGTTCTAAGAATCGTAGCTGGTGGCGGTAAATGACCCATGAGTCGGACCCATATAAAAGAGTAGACAACACTATGGCTCTGTAAACACTGATCTTGGTACTTTTCTTCAGGTGTTTATTTCGCCAAACTCTCTTATGGAGTCTTCCGAAAACTCTATATGCCTTTTCTAACCTGTTGTCTATCTCTTCATCAATCTTACCGTCCGAGGAGACGATGCTTCCTAGGTAATTAAACTGCTGGACTGATTTGAGCTCTGATTCGCCAATGGTGATATGGGGATAATGGAAGACTTCCTGAGGTGCAGGTTGATAAGGGTTCTACCTGTAATCACATGGCATCATCAGCTCCAAGTCCACTCAAGCACGTCAAACCTTTGTCCTTGGATTCTATATCTCATTAGGCCAGTCAAGTGTTATTCCAACAGTTTGCCACTGCTTCATATTTACATATGTGACAAGGGACTCTCTTTTTCCAGAAAAGACCTGGAAAACCCATAATCACATTCAAATAGGTCTTGTCCACTCAGTTTTTACTTCCCATCATACCCTTCTTGTCAGCATAAGTAAGCAAGTTAAACCATAGTTGATTACTAAGTATCATACTTAACAATTTTCCAAATTGATTTCATGAATATCAGCACATTCATCTTTTCACCTAATTTATCAAATTAAGTAATTAGGACATGATGCATTCAAAATAGCTCAATCAATGGAGTCAAAAAAGAAAGGACATGATCTTTCTGTGTCTTTCTTCAACTGCTGAAAGAAGAAAAGTCTATGTTGAGAAGCATGGCTGCTGTCTGTTTACTAATTAATATGCCTGGTTTTGCGCCAAATACACATTGGAATGCAATTATTGGTCTTTTTCCCAAAATCACCTGAAATTAAACTTGAATAGAGTTAATAACATGCTTTTTACCACACATCTAAAAGGCAAAAGTTATTTCCAGTGCCTCACTGCCCAGTTCACCTGGGAGTGAAAAAGTTTCATGCTAATGAAACTCCTTATGCATTCTTGACTGGCATGTATATGTCTACATAGGCAAATTGGAACAAAAGACAGGAAAAGGATAACTTGTGGACCACATTCAGCCTACTGCAATTACAATTAAAAAAGGGGTAGAGGGTTACTTTAAACGGGTCGACAGAATACTGAAGTCGTATGCTACCACATGCCACAGCCACAGAAAACTTCACATCTCTTGAGTGATCTACCCAAGTTTTGAGTCTCAGTCTTTTTGTATACACAGTATCTTAAATTACAGGGACAATCCTTGACTAATTCTGATTTTCTGTGTGTCAATTCTAAAGCCTACATTAGGAATCTCTTCAAAGTAACAACTTCCAAGCAGCAGTGACAGGTTCAGATTTACACAGAAATGTCTTCTCAAGCCTGTAACTGATATCCCTAAATAATGGTATGTACCAAGTTTGGTTAAGCCTTAGGTGTTGCTAAAATTGGAGAAATAGAGAACAAAGAGAATCATCTCAAGATCAATCCATCTTCCATTCTGATCAGTGTGCAGATAGGAAGCATGAGAGCGAGAGGAAGGCAGCCTGAAAAAAAACCCATGTGGTTTCTCTCCCACTCTTTTTCTTTTTTGAGAAGTATATGAAATCTTCAATCATAGCAACTGGAGGAAGATTATTTTAAAGAAACTAGTGTTGCACAGTACCTATTCTAAAATATGTCTTATAATACCAATTAATTTACCATATTGCCATTAATTATCACAACACTGGTCTCCTCTGCAGCCATGTGATTCAGCAGAATCAGTAAAAACCTGAACCTTTAGTTATTTAACAGTAAGAATCAGTGTTTCTTGTGAAATAATTAAAACAATAAAAAATTGAGTAACTGATTGTCTCCAAGATGTGAAGACCTGATTGAATAAAAAATATGCTGTTCTTATAACATTTGTCTGGTCCTGTTTAACTTATCTCAGCAGTTCATTGGTGAGCTGTTTAGTTATTAAGGTCACATATCAAATCATATAAATGTTTCCCTTTCCAGATTTCTAAGGCAAGACTGACTTACATTTCTACAGTAATATAGTTTTTCATTGAGCTAATCAGAACTTTAAACCATTCATAGCTAATTTAATAGTAAGAGCCAAAACTTCGAATAAAACGTAAACATTAATCAATTTATGGTAATAAAGTCTTACCAGTAAATTGGCAGTTAAGGGTTTTATTTAGTTTACTCTCCCTGTGATTATATTGAGTATATTCAGAGTATAGAGATATCAAATAAACCTCTGGATTCCTAATCATATGGTAAGAGTCCTTACATTAGGTTAACATATCAGCATTCAAAGCCAACCACAAAATGTCTCATTCTGATGTCTAAAGATCTTGAAACTCCATTTTCCCTGTAATGCAATTACAGAAAATCACACATATTTGGAAGAAAGCAAGTACTAGGATTCAGTTTCCAAAAGGCACTTATGTACCTCACTTCAAGCAAATTCAATAGGTATTATCCACATACCTTTGTGGATCTAGGACTAAACTGCTTTCAATTTTATTCTGCCAATGAAACGAACAACAAAAGTATGTTCTGGACCCTGTAGCGTAGTTGTAGCTATTGTCATAGGAAATGTTTCTGCCTGAAAGTATATGCTGAACTTTACCCATGGGATTGGTCGTGTAGAGAGAGAAAAAAAGTAAGACCAGAAGATAATTATTTAACCATCTGATGTGACTGAAAGAAGGATGAGAAGGGAGTGGGACAGCTGCAAGTGTCTCCACTTTCTTTGTTACTCTCAGCACCCACAGGGAACCTGGTGTGCTTGGCTCCAGCAGCCCTGTTTTGCTGCCTCACTTTCCTACTCAGCAACATGCCAAGCCCTGTAGGAAGGCTGTTGATGGAAAAATAGAAAGAAACAGCTGTTTTGTGGGGTGGCTGAAAAGATACAACTGCTTCTACAAGAGGCAAGGTGTTCCTGGGGAAGGGGGATATGTGCCTGCCACTGCTGCAAATTCAGGAGCATCTGTTCACATTGAAAGGCATGCTTTACTCTGGGCAAGGGACCCAGTCCCTCATCCCAGCCACTACATCCTTGCTGAAGTATTACAGGTTGTCACAGGAAGAAGAAATTAAAATGGAGTTACAATTCAGGCATACATTTGTGGTGAATTGAACAAAGAATGAACTTTCAGTTAGAAAGATAAAGAGAGCTGTTGAAGATTGGAACATAAACCAAATTTTCATTAACACAATAGAGCACAGACTTAAAAGTGCTGACTGTGCTTGTCTAACATTTTTATGCACAGTATTCAACTGGAAACAAGACAGCATCACGTTGCTGCACCTTCATTTAGAGGTCCTAGCTTCAGAGGGATTTTATGGCTGTGATCCCACTCATCTACCTACATTGGTAATTGGGTGCATTTTTCACTAAAATCATCTGCTTTGATAAATAAGAGAGATTAAATTAGAGTTCAGCAGCTTGGGGTTGTAAAGACATCAACTATCACATATTCCTTTTGCGCCATTCTGACCTGATGAATTCCCTTGGGATCTCATTTTTTTCAAACACTGAAATGACAAGGAAAAAAAAAATCTATCCTCACCATCAATAAAGGGAGCTAATGGTGACAAATTAGCCAACATGGAAAGTACAAGACTCTTTCAGAGAATTGTTCTATTTTATACCTTTTTCTAGCACAAAGCTATTATGTTCCAATCTACAACTCCATTGAAGGCTATTATAAAAAAACACCCTCATGCAACTCATCATACTATAACAACTTCAGTGCCTTAGATATCCTGTTCCTAAAGATTCTGTTGTTGGATTGCTCTCTGCGTGAACTGTGAAAACACACATAAGAGTTATCAGCAATTCATACTACTAACCTTGAGGGTGTTCATACCACTAACCTTGAGAATATCCCTTGAATCAAAAAAAATCAGGCAGCTACATTTAACTTTACTTCTGGAATTGCACCTTATGAGTGTTCTTCTGTTCATTAAAACAAACATAATAATAAAAAAACTTTCTGAATTCAGTAGTCTATCCTATTACTGCAGAAATGTGCTAGCTCTGTAATTCACCCTTGCTGTTTATTTACAGGGATCTAATGAATTCAAGCAAATATCTTGTCATTTTCAGGATTCTTCTCTCTAACAGGCTTGTTTCTGCAGTACTTCCACGTTTTAGCCCCAAGCCATATGCAGTATGTCATTGACAATAAAATTTTACCGATTCCTTTTGACAGGTAAGGTAGTATTGGCACACTATAGGGAGAAAAAGCTCTTTGGTAGGAAAAAAAGTTATTGTTATTGTTGAAAAATAGAAATTCAGGATGGATGCAGGGAGCAGGCCAACATATAACTGTAGCAGCTTTAATATGTTACATAACCATTTGACAACCACATCAAACCTGACCAAATTAGATTTCTAACATTTCTAAGATCACTTACAGTTATTCACATTAATAATAGATTACACTTATTTAGCCTTTGATAATAAGCTTCATTCTCATTGGAAGCTATTATGACATAATTACAAACAGCAATGGTCTTGTTTTTAAAGCCTTTAAAATATTTTCTACTATAATTAATCTAAAACCATGTATGTATCTCATATCAAATTAACATCTATAACAAGACATATAATTTTAGTGATGTTTGTCAGCCATATAGTGATGTCAGATTTACTCATACAAAAGTTGATTTTCATTATCATCAACACTTACTTTAGGACATGCTTTCTTCAGTAATTCTACTACCTAATATTACTTTTTAATGCAGTTAAGCATTTGTTGTTGTGATCTTGTCCATTGCTAAGCCTTAATCATGTTTCTGACTAGAAGTATGAGAAACATTCAAGGTTGTATTAAATAATTATCTAAATTGTCCACAAAGTCCATCATCCACATTTCCCATATGCAAATATCAGGAAGAATATTACTTAAAACTTGTCAGAAGTACAGTAAAATATTCAACCACCTAAAGACAGTAATATAAAACCTTGTAGAAATATTAATGACACGTTGTGAACTTCTGCAGACAGAGCATTAAGTGGACTATCATTAAAGTGGGCCTTAATTATCCGAGATCTTAGTTTTAGCTTATTTAAAACACATTTAAAAATAGGAGCTGAGTCCTTTCTTTGTAAGTGTTTACAGGAGAGGTTTTTTTTCTCAGGGAGAGACATCATGGATACGGATAAACTAATACTATAGCTCCTGAGAATACACACTGGCCTCCTGCTAGTAAGTGCAACAAAATTGTGTTTGTTTTAATGTTCTTTTGTGTTAATTATTACAACATTATGAAACTGAGCCCAGGGAATGATTATTCAGGTATTTTTATCATTGACAGTTGGATGTTAATGTGGATTATTTTTATACTACCCAACTGTATTTCAGTAACTTAAGCTTCAATTACACTTGCATTTTGAATATCTTTATTAAATAGTTGTCTTTTTTCATTACCTAATTTTTTTAATTTTCCCTAACCACTAGTATTGCCATATTCTTAAGGAAACTCCAATATAAATAAGACAATGAAGATGCAAAAAAATTGATGAAGCTAACCACTTTCAATGTATGCACCAGGTATAGAAACACAATTAACTTACACATCTTTATCCACTTGCAAAGAAATGCTTTATTTCACCCTCAACATGTTCATACCCTGAAATGACAAAAAACCTTGGAGGTAAATCTTACAGATTTGTTCCTGCAAATATTTATTATGTTTAACTAGGAAGAATGGAATTAAAAGTCATTATAAGATATAGTGCTTTGATCACCACGGTTCTTATTATGGAGAAGTGGAATTTAGTTCTCCATATGTCTTATGTGACTTTTTTGAAAGTATCATTCTCACTAAACTAAAGCCTTCTTACACTGGAGAAGGGGCTACAGCTCACTTAAAAGTAGCTAGACTAGGTATTTTCTATACATCAACAGGAGCACAGACTTCATTGTAGATCAGATATCTACAAATTAATGCAGCTGCTATGGAAAATTTGGTAGCTCTTCATCTTTGAATTTTAATATAACCTTGCTGTTTGCTTTGTTAAGGTCACTCAACTCCCATGATATTATTTTTCATTGTTCTTTTCTTGAAAAGGTTCAAGAAATAGCAAGAGTCGTTATATTTTTCTGCTGTCACATTGTGACACATTGAGTGTAATCCAGAATTATATCAACTGGGGTACTCTTTTGTGAAGAAATGTTAGAGGTGACTGCCACGTTAGTGGGGGGGGGGATAATGAAAGAACTCTGTTGTTTCATCTTGCAGATTGTCATCAAACACTTCTGTGTGGCTTGCTTCTGGCAGACCAGCAGATTTTAAACTTAGGTAAAACCAAGAAAATTAAGAGACTTGGGCCCACCCACTAATTTCCACCAATACAGCCTGGATTCATAGGTGGCAAAGAAATTGAGCATTCTGCTGGTTTCCCAGGTGACTGGACACTTCTCCACAACTGAACCAGAGTTGTTCGGACCCACCTGGGAGCCCAGCATAGGCAATGTAACTTACGCGCTTCTGGATCCTCTTCCAGAATCTTCCTTATTTTTCATTTTGGTGCATTTTTTAATACGGGCAACAGAAGAATAAAGGATGGTGAAAGAGAAAGCAGTTCCATGCTGAAGTTTTTCTTCAAGCAGAGTGAACATGCTACAGGAATGATTAATATCCAGAAGTCCTAGCTGTATCTTAATTCTGTTGCAACATAATCCTTTTGTTTGGACTGACTGGGCATGGCAAGCTGAGCTCAGTGATGTAGGTTTGAGGGATGTCTAAGATCAGCTTCCTCAGAGAAACACACTCCTATATTCTCTCCTGGAATTGCTTCATGCATCTGTGTCTGTGTTCAAGCCTTGCTGAAGTGTGGTTATTTAGACAATCCATTCAAGAGACCAACAGTTTTCTTCTTTTAAGATAATGTTAGAATTTGTGATTTTTCTTAATTGTATTGTTGCACCTAAGGCTAGACATCTAATGAATTCTTATAAATATAAGAAATTAATGAAATGAACTAAGAGGAACAAGTTTTAACTGTTTTGAAGGTTATAGATTTGGGAGGGTTGTGATTTTTGCTTTTGCTTTGTTTGTTTTGGTTTTTTGTTTGTTTTGTTTGCTTTGGTTTTTTTAATTGTAAATAATATCTGTATCAGATTCATAAGTACATTGAGACGGCAAATTTGATCAGTAAAACTTTTACATCAAAATTGCGTTTATACCACTACATTTTAAAGTCTTTAGTTGGGAAAAGTTGGTGCAAATATGGACTGGAATGGCTCAGTGCATACTCTTAAACATAGGTTCATACCCTAAAGATATACAGATATTTTTTCTGTTTCTAAAGGGTTCTCTAAATGTTTCTAATTTCTAATAGAAACTCTGATAACTACAAAATTAAGAATAAAAGTACTTAGATGTAAGTACTGAAATGGTTTCAAAGCTGAATCAGAAATAAGTTATGAAGAACAATACTCTAACTCTGAACCAAGACCATCTTCTGAGTTAGTCATTTGTGGATGTCACACATAACTGTAAAATCTGAATGTAGTCATCACCTTTTACAGGGCACAAATTTATGAGACCATATACTCAAAACAAGTGCCACAAGAGAAGTGACAGAAAGTTCATGTTTCCAAAATGTAAATCTAAATTATTACCTAAAATGTAGAGAGGAGGAAAGAGAACATTCACATGCATCTATGATTGGTAAATAAGACAGAATATAGTACAGTAGAAATACCTTTTCATAAGTTTTCAAAGTATTTCCTGCATTTTTCTGTGTAACTCATGTTTTGGTTTGCTTTGGTTTTGATATTAGTTATAAGATAAAAAGTGTAATTTCAAAGGAAATCTTTTCAAAATTGAAAATATGTTTGTATTTGCTAGAGTAATAGAATTATTATCTTTTCCCCTTTCCCTTGGCCTTTGTAACTTTATTCTGTCATAAGAGGTCTCCATAAAACTTCATTTAAATTATAATTATTTTCATTCTCATTTCATCTGTAAGTCTCGGTGCAGCCCTAAAATGGCTATGAGACTGACCATGCTATATAACATTTTTTATTATTTGACATTCTCCAAAGGATTTCCATGTGTAAATGGTCATAACGGAAACAGCAGCCTTATTTCTATGTATTTTTTTCTCTTGAGGCCATGGAATTATTCCAAAGATTAACTTAAACCATTATATTTATGATAGCAAATATTATTTGGAGATTATATGAAGGAACCATCAGTGAGTTGTTGCTGCTTTGCGTCTCTATGGCATGGAGAAGCAGCTGTAAGATCTCTGCACTAGTTGGATTTACAGCTGCCTTTTGCTGCCAGCATGACACAAAGCAGCAAAAGCATCCTGGTGAATCTGGTCTGTACCTGATATCCCATAGTTTAGATATATATCTTTACAACTCACTGCTCAGGACTTTGGAAATTTAGTTTACAAACCAGACAACATAATGAGAAGAACAGGACAGACAGACCAACAAAATGATTGGCTAGCTTTTGTTAAGGAGTGATACAGATGTAGTTCAAAGCCTTTAGACCAGGTATTGCTCATGTATTTCTGAAGGATTTATACACTGTATATACAGCATAGCACAGAGATATGATTTCTCATTGCCCATGCTAAGTCCTTGACTTCCAGAGCTTTTGATTAGACCTTGACTAAATTACAGCTTACTCTACTTCTGTAAGAAATACTGTTTTTTCTTTCACAATCAGAATTGTTCTTCTGCTGTTTGGATCAGTTTACATCTTAGTTTTTTGTTGTTGTTTTTTTCATCTGTTAAAGCTGATAGCTTTCTCTGAGTAAATCTAATCTGAGCACTCAAATTTTCATCTATGTAGCCATGCTTTCATCAAATTCAGAAGTATCAGCTTGCCCTAAGCACTTTAGAGCTCATGAAAGGAAGTTGACCTGCTTCAGGCATTCATAGAATGATTCAAACCCCACCAATCCACCTTGATTACTTCCAGCTGTACCTCAAGTCCTGCTTGAAGCACTTCTGGGCTGTGTCAGGAATAAGAGACCATCTTTGCTTGTCTCCAGCTAGCTGTACGACCCTCTATGTCAGAAGAGCAAATAGTTTTCATCCTATGTGGGTCAAAGAAAGTATAAAAGGCAAAATAAGAGGTAAGAGATAGCACCTATTTTAGTTCTTTAACTGTTTTTTTTGTTTTTCTCCCAAAATCCCCAATCCTTCAGAAATATCAGCATGCTGAGTCTTATTCTGGCCTACTAAATATAGCCATGAAATATTCCAAACATAACTACTATCCTTATACAAATACAACTATTTTGTGAAATGAGAAAATATTTATATAGAATTATTTTCTTTTTGCATGTAATTAGAACTGTGGAACTAATTATTACATCAAAGAAAATGGAAAAAAAACCACCAAAACACTTTACTATTTCTAGCTCTACAATGTCAGATGTTTTTAATTTTATTTTATTTTATAAGGAGGGAAGGATTGCTCTGTTCTTTTAAAATGGAAAGATCTATTCCCAAGGGAGATATGAGTGTCTGGGCAACACTGTATTTAATGAAGCTACAAGATGGCCTTCACTTGTTATGGATTGATTATTATGCAAAGTATTCCCTACAGTGAAGGTAGGGATAATGGTCTTGTTTAGAGGCACCATATACCGTTTTCATGCAAAAGTTAACTGATGATATAAAACCAGTGGCTTTATTACTGGAAAAGAATATTTTTCAAGTCAGAATAGATCTTTCTATATGGAATCAACCAAATTATGCATATAGATAGGTGTGGACATACATTGAAAAGTCTGAAACCCATTACTTTTCAATTAAGAGTAAACCCCATTTTGTTTTGAGGACCTATCTCCAGTTTTGACTATCTTCAGGATTAGTCCTTCCAGAGTCACAAAAGGCCACTTACAGATGCCTTATTCACTTGAAAACTTAAGCTGGGTTGATTTATTCCTATACCATAACGGTTGAAAATGGAGATGCCTTAGGGTATAATCTTTCCATGAGGAAAGAAAGGTTTATTTTTAACATACTGTGACATTGCACAAAACTCACTGAGTTACTTTCTTTTCCTGTTAGGGGCTTTTATTTTACTGGTGTTTTTTGGGGGGGCAGGGAGAGGGGAAATTGAGATGGTGGGATGTGTAACCAATGAGTGAGAAAAGTCACCGTAAAAGGAGTAATCAGGATTTTTAGTTCAATTCCTTAAGTTCTCTGTGTAAGAGTATTCCTGTCAGCAGTATTTCTCATATAAACTATGTCCTTATGTTTCCAAAGTCAGCATCAGCAATGATTCTGCTGCATAGGAAGAGAATACACAGTCACTCAAGTCTTCCTCTACAGTCAGGGAACAAATGGACATGTTTAGAGGATAATCCTTGTCAATTAGATTGGAGGAGAACTCCACCTTAAAAATTTATTCTTTTTTTCCATCTCATCTCCGGACTATAAATTTAGAGAGCTGAGGATATTGAGTTTGGGTATATGCATCTAAATCCAGGTGGATAAATCCTTCCCTTGGTTTTTCCACTGATGAGCTTGAGCAGGCTCCTTTATTCATAAGGTTCTGCCTGATAAGAAAAGTTCAATGAAAAACAGACAAAAAACCAGTCCTGTGACTCTGAAAGAACAATCTGAAGACAAACATGAGCACTTTAGAGACTATCCCTGTCACTGACAGGATCCCAAAGTAACCAGGAGGTTACTTTGTCCTACAGAAGTGGTGGTCCAGAACAGCATTCTTCATATAAGACCTGTGCTCACACCTCTCAGTGTGAGGGATAACATTTAAAGAGGTACACATATACCTCTTATAAACACCTTATATATTTCTGACGTAACTTGTTCAGCTACTAGTAGTAATTAACCCTGATCACCTACCCACACAATGAAAACATTTTTACTTGACAAATTAAAATACAACCTTTTGCCAGATCTCTAAAGAATCACATCCTATTGGGGTTAATTGAAGTTGAAAAAAATGACAGGTTAACCACTTTGCACTGTCAGAAGGTGGCTATGGCAGAACAAAATTAAGGCCAAAACAGAATCCTGCTCCTCAAACCATACATTTCCCAATATCTCATACCTCCCTTAGCCTTGTCACTGGATGCTTGACAAGAAAAGACATTGGAACAGTTTTAACGTGACTGTGATGATGTGATTACTGAATGGGATTTTTACAGAGCAGTTTAAGATGAGAGGTGAATTGAAAAGTAAGATCTTCCCAAAATAAAATCAAACTTACTGTAGGTATTTTGAATCTGTATTCAAGCTAAACTCCTAAATGGCTGAGATTTTTTCAATGCTAATAACCACAAAGATATTTTAAAAAAAGAATTGTTTCAGCTCTATAATTACAACAAGTTCAGGCATTTAACTTAGATTCTGCACTTAGCAGACCTCAGTGAAAACAGCCCAGGCTGCACTTTTGTTGAGAGCCAAAAGTAATTGTGTTCTGTAACAGTATCATAGTTACCATGTTATTACATGAAACTAGATGATCTATTTGATATTTATGTTCCATAATTTAAAAGCATTGACAATAATACTAATGACTAAATAAAACAATCTGACATACCCCTGGAAACCTGTTCTAATGTGTAGCAGTTTAGAGACATAATACTGTGAGGACGGAAGAAGGCACAGCACATGTTGCTTTCTTGCCTTTTTCTTCTCTCTTTTTTTTTTATTTTTGCTTTTTTTTAAAAGAAGGTTGTTGCTCTTAAAAATATACTTCTTTTGCCCATTAAAAAGCAGAAAAGTCTATAAAACAAAAACAAGACAGAGAGCTTTCCTCCTGACTGGACCTGTTACATCTGAAGCTAAATATAGATAATCATTGAAGCAAGATAGTCAACAAGTGTCTTTTGAGCAGCATGTGGCTCTTAAGCAGTTCCAGTGCCTCTGCATGCTGAGAGAGAGCCATGTGTCCGGCAGGAAGGCCGCTGAAAAATCTCAGCCTCCAGCTGTGGGAGGAAGCAGATCAGCCAGCGCTGTAGAGGTCAGTCTTGCCCTATCACCCCGGGCTGTAAATGCATGCTTGTCCAGATGCATTTTGAGTACCAAAAGCAGACCTCATCACCTGAGCTTATCCTTGACATGTCTTTCCAAACTTAATGCTACATATCTGGGGATTTTCAACCTAAGAACCATAAGGAAATCTGAAAAGCACTGGAATTATAAAATAAAACCACTCTTCTATTATTTTGCATCACACTAATGAGAATAATTGGCTTTTCCAATTACAGCTGAAAGTAATGAGAGTGTTAACACTACAGCAGAGAGCTTTTGCCATATTGTTAAGACAGCTTTCCTTAAAAAGAGGTTAAGGAACTTATTTTCCTAATTTCTCATATTGGTCAGAAAACAGCTGCTTGTGCTTGCAACACAAATAACTTTGAGAAAACATCAGAGATTTTCCTCTACTGATTTATATGTAATTTTAAGAGCACTAATTCCTAAAAACTTCTGTTTAGGTTTGTAATAAATGACCAGTACTGCTGTAATTAAAAAAAAATATTTTGATTTCATGGAAGAAGGCTGTTTGTCTGTGACTTCTAAAGTAATGACTACATTAAATATTTTACAAGGCTTTTAAATGCTTGATGATAGAGATTCAGCATGGTCTATTCTCATGCTGGATGGTTGAGAACAAGAGGCCTCTTTTATTGTTCTCTGTAAAACCAATGAAATGGAACCAATTGAAATATTGTGCACAGAGTCACAGGCACAGGATAATAGTGCTTTTCTGAATGGTAAGAACACAACAAAGTGCATCTCAAGAGCTTTGTTTGTATGGAGCAGACCTCTTCTCGGAATGGACTGTCTGAAGAGGCTTTGCTTAATGCACTGTTTAATAGCACAGCTCTTCAAGGTCTCCCCATTCCATTATGACATGTGCACTAACTGCTCCTTGGATATGAGAACAGAAGCAAAACAACAGGAAAATAGGCTGTGGTTTACTTAACCCAAATGACTTCCACTCATTTTCCAAAATGCACAAGTATATTACAATGGAAAATATCAGACCAAATCAACATTCAGAACATATGAATTTATAATCATGGGAGGGAGATGACCTTCTACACATTAAAGGCTTGTTTATGTGTTGGAAGTTATAGGATTTTCACTGGAAATTGAAATCACAGAAGATTTGTGATTGTGAAAGTGACTGAGGTACAAATTGCAATGTAATGGCAATTCTTCTGTTACAACATTGCAGCCTGAATGTATAAATAAGGTACAAATTTGATATAATAATCTTTCTTACAGTAACTTCTACTCCTTTAGTTTGAAAGAACTATGTTCTTGAATGCTTTAGCAGAACTTGAGGGTGTAAATACCTCTAATAATTATATGTGGGCACTGCTTATGCAAGCACACATTTTAGCTAGCATTGCAAATTATATAGTGTATTGAAATGGTAAGCACCACTAACTACATAAAAATGCTTGTCATCTATAAAGTACTGGTTTTGTTTTCAATGAAGAATGACTAGGGCATGAGATGAAGGAGATTCAGAGAAACATTGTTCTAAGCAGGAATTGTGTTTTGCTTCAGTCTGTCCATTTTAGCAAAGAGATCAGACTGTGTTAGGGCATATGGATGTGAACTCTTTACGATGTCCAGTATGTAAATGCATTGGATCCTGAAGGCTTAATTATAAATTATTGCAAGAGACCGCTGGGATCCCAGTCCAATCCTAATGGGAATACTGTTGCAACTAGACAACTGCTTCCTCTTTATGGCAGAAAGAACAGATGAAAATAAAAGACAAAAGAATAAAGACTAAAGAAAAGAACATACTGTACTAGTGCCATCAGATTAAATGTAATTAACTGTTAAGTTTAACAGATCAGAAAGTTGAAATCGTGCAACAGTCAGTATAATATGCTGGTTTTCAAAATACTCAAGATCATTAGACTGGAAGTGCACTTTTATCTTTCACTGAAAAAGATCACTAGTATTCTTAATTAAATAATTACTCCCTAGCATCTACATTCAGAGTACACTGAAGAAAAACCTCAGATGAACATATTTGATGCAAAAGTCTTCCACAAGTTCATGTGAGATGGCTTACATAATATGTATTTTTCTGACTTCTTCCATGATTATTTACCGTCTGAATAATAAAGAATGTATATTTTGAAATAATATATGGCAAAATCAGTATCCATTTTTCCTACACAAGTGGATTTCATACCATTCATTGGCTTTGGTTAACATCACTTTTCTGTATTCTGAAGTATGTGTTACTCATCATCTCCCAGCAGTCAGCAGAGAGAAGTAGCTGCCATTTCACATTAGGCAGCAGTAGGTTCAGTAAGTGGTGTCCCTCACTCAGAGAATGACACCCCCTCTCTCCACCGGTGTTAGAGGGAACTGGGGACTTCAAACTCTGGGTCAATCGGTCCTTTGTCTTTCCAGGTTTTTTCTCACCTCTCCATCCCATGCACAAATTTCTTGTCTTCACACTTATAACTGCACAACCTCTTTGTTTCTTGATGTTTATTATCTCTGCTTTCTCTTTTTGTGTCCTTTCTCCCACATGGTCTTCCTTATGATATCTATAGCTCAACATAATCTAGCTTAGTCCTCTTCACTGCATCTTCACACAATATCTCTACAGCAATAAAGTTTCATTTCAGGTTAAAATGTTTCCTCCTGTTAGTTTTTCAGACTGTTCCCAGCTAAACTTCCTTCAGATGAAGTACTAGGGAAAATGTTTGTGTTTACATATTTATTTCCATTTCCTTATGCAGCAATCTTACAATCACGCCAAATACTTTTCTTAATGAAATAACTTAGAATTCAATACAAGGATAAAACTTAAGTGCATCCCTCCTTGAACAGATTCACTTTATCCCTAGAGCATAACATCATAATATAGAATATTGAGAGTTGAGTTTAAGAACTAGAAGAAGAATGGAAACTTAAAACATAACAAACATTTTTTTCTTGGGCTCTCTATAACAGATATTTTTAGACTTTAAGACTTTCTTTTGGATGTCTCCTTTTATTATTTTCTGATTTTTTTGGTGGGTTTGTTTTATTTTTTTTTTTTAAATGCTTGACACATGAGTTTTTATACAATCTTGTGCATTAAAAAAAGTCACTGACATTTCAAAGAAAATATTCCTTTCCACATAAATGTGTTTTGTTTCCATTGTACTCGTGCACACATGGGTACACACAGACTTTTGGAGCACATATCTATTATGGAGAATATAGTTAATATCAATTAGTTGCTCAAAAAATAGTTTTTGTGTAAAATAATATGAAGAAACCATATTTTTAACTTCAATTTAAAAAATGCTGAAGTTGACATTTATGAACACAAAACAAACTTGAGACCTAAAAGAGTCATATGTGCTCTATACCTAATAGCTGCTGTCAAATTTTTTACACAGCTCTTCTACTCCCCTTTTGTTAACAGATGAAAAAATAAGGACTCAGCATAGATCAGGAAAAAATGACTGCAGTATTTTAATTGTACAGAAATTATTCTTTTCTTCCCCATATATTCTGGGTTTTGGTTTTCAATTTAAAATTTTTAGTTTGCTTATGACTGGTTTTACAGCACAGTCCAGGGTTTAAAGCTGTAATGTATCAAGAAGGACTTCTTAAAATTGAGCTGTCTTTCTTGCTGTTGTTCCCTATCACTTGGCTATTTATTCTCTCTGTCTTACAATTCCCAAGCTACTTCTACCACTTCTGGCTCCTTTTTTGGCCAGAGATGCGAACTTCAAAAGAAAATAATAATAAACTGATCTTCACTTTTATTTTTTAATCCAAGATTAGTAGACTCAATTGACAATTAAGAGCTGATGGTATTCTTTCTCTTCTAATCTGTGGGTAGTCTCCTGTTGGGTCTATTGTCTTCTCAGCCTTTGTTTTACTACTTAATAGTGTTAGCAAATGTCAGTGTTCATCAGTATCACAGTTTGTTTTACCACAGCAAATGATTTCAGTTAAATAGAAATGAAAGGTGAAATGCCATTAGAGAAATAGCATTAAGCACTGAGATTCAGTTCTTCAGGATGATGTTTTTATGACCATTTTAAAGCTCCCAAACTATTACTCTTTCCTGATAGACAGAAAAAGTGAAAATTTTATTATACTTTCATGATCCATCTACCCAGAACTTGCTTCACATTATCTTCCACAGGAGAGAGAAGGCACAGTTTAAAAACAAAAAAACCAAAAACCCACAACATTCCCACAGTACATCCAATCACCCACAGACAAATTTTCTGCTGCTCTTGAACTTGGTAGAAGTTCTACAGTAAATGTACTGGTAGGAATAACACACTGCCAGTTGTGCGGCGTATGCTGTACCACTCTTCCCAACCTGATAGCAGGAAAGGGGAAGGAAATGGAAGGTTTGGGAAGATTTGGGAAGGTTTGGGAAGGGAAGGTTTGGGAAGGTTTGAGAAGGGAAGGGAAGGAAAAGGGAAAGAGAAAGGTGGGGGGCAAGGAAAGAGGAAAAGGGAAAGGTTAGGAAAAAGGAAGGGCAAAGGTTAGGAAAAAAGAAGGGCCTACTCCCTGCAACGAGTAGGCTGAGGACACAAAAGAAGTTGGGGGGACGCAGCCTTGGCAGTTGACCCAAACTGACCTAAAGGATATTTCAAGCAACATAAAATTATACTCACTATTAAAAACTGTGGGGATGTTGCCATTGCTCAGAGACTAGCTGGGCATACTTGTGGGAGGTAGTGAAGGATTACCTTTGCATCACTTGTTTGTTTGGGGTTTTTTTCCCTTTCCTCTACCTTTTAAAATCCCTTCATCTTGGTCCATGAACTTTCTCACTTTTAGTCTTCCTGCTCACTGCCTTGTCCAGCTGAAGTAGAGGGGAGCAAGGTAACTGTTGTGTGACTTTTAGATACTTGACAGGATCAACACACCACCACATAGAAAACAAGTATTTTTAGGTTTTTACAGCAGAAATAATTTCTTTGCTTAGCTACAGTAAGGGAAAGGGTAAGTGGTGGCAAAGAAGTTTTTTAAAAGGGATAGTGTAATTTACAGAATGCTCATAAGTCCTATTAAGATAGTCTTATATTTTTGTGGTGTGTTTAAGCATGAGTACTGAATATGTCAATACTCACCAGAGAGATACAGAGAAGGAAAAGAGAAATTATTTAGGATTATAGTAACACATTTAGGAAAAGAGAAGTACCAGCTTAAGTTTTTTTTTCTGTAAATATTTTTGTCTCTAGAGTTAATCAGGCAAAATGAAAGTTTTTCCATGCTTTAATAATGTGGGGACTGGTGGTTAATGAACATCCTCAACAATGACAGTATCCCCAAATGTTCCTGCTAAAAACTAGTCAAAGGCTTAATTTCAGTCAGGTTTTCTTCAACTGTTGGGTGCTAAATATGGCTGATTAAGATTATAAATTTAGATTCACATCTAAAAAGAAGTTCCTCCCTTAAAGCTGGAGGTTAAATGTCACTCTATTTAAATAATGTGACTTAAATCACAGCCATCTCATAAGTTTACACCACAACAGCTAGCTTAGTATTTACCCATATGATTACTTCATGAATTGCATTCAATGATAAGTCATTTTCTCTATCCACAGTACATGAAAAGAGAAGTTATCCTTTGTAAAGTTTATTTGGAGTGAATATAGAATTGGAATAGTAAAAAACAGAATGAAAAAATCTGAAGGAAATGGTCTCAACTAAAAGAACTTTAGAAAAATAATAATTTCCTATTTAAAATATTAGTAAATTGTTATGAATTATATTTGGCATTGTAGTATTAACTACAAAAATAGTAGATAGAAAAAAATTGAAGATGAATAGCTTACAATAAATATGAACAGAT